GAGAATCTCCCGTTCCAGCACATCCCAAAGGTGCTCTATTGGACTGAGATCTGGTGACTGTGGAGGCCATTGGAGTACAGTGAACTCATTGTCATGTTTGAGATGATGTGAGCTTTGTGACATGGTGCGTTATCCTGCTGGAAGTAGCCATCAGAAGATGGGTACACTGTGGTCATAAAGGGATGGACACGCTCAGCAACAATACTCAGGTAGGCTGTGGTGTTTAAACCATGCTCAGTTGGTACTAAGAAAATCTCCCCCACACCATTACACCACCAGCAGCAGCCTGAAGCGTTGATACAAGGCAGGATGGATCCATGCTTCCATCTGAATGTGGTTTTTCCAATCTTCTATTGTCCAGTTTTGGTGAGAAAACCCGTGTGAATTGTAGCCTCAGTTTCCTGTTGTTAGCTGACAGGAGTGGCACCTGGTGTGGTCTTCTGCTGCTGTAGCCCATCTGCTTCAAGGTTGGACAAGGTGTTGTTGCTTCAGAGATGCTCTTCTGCACACCTTGGTTGGAACCAGTGCTTATTTGACTTCCTGTTGCCTTTCTATCATCTTGAACCAGTCTGGCCATTCTCCTCTGACCTCTGGCATCAACAAGGCATTTTGGCTCACTGGATATTTTCTCTTTTTGGGACCATCCTCTATAAACCCTAGAGATGGTTGTGCTGAAAATCCCAGTAAATACTCAGAGCAGCCCGTCTGGCACCAACAACCATGCCACGTTCAAAGGCACTTACATCACCTTTCTTCATCATTCTGATGCTCAGTTTGAACTTCAGCAGCTCGTCTTCCATGTCTACATGACTAAATGCTGCCACATGATTGGCTGATTAGCTATTTGCATTAACAAGCAGTTGAACAGGTGTACCAAGAAAGTGGCCAGTGAGTGTATATAGCCTACCGTCATCATTAATTTATTTAATATTTAATACACATGCACTGAAGTGAAAAATACTGGTTTTATTTCTGTAAAATAGTTATTATTGCAGGGCAGAGGAGAAATATCAACAGCTGATAATAAACAGTGGTGTATAAAGAAATAAAAATGATTCAAACACTGTAAAAAGTTGCATTTTTCTGCTTACTGCCTCCTCATCCCAAATGTTCCCTCCAAAAGAAATGTGTATTTGAAGATCCAGCTGTCATCGAGCTCACAGATCTCTTTCTCTGCCAGATTTGTAACAACTTCTCTTCTACAGCAGATGGATCTTTGTCTCTGCTTCCTCCCGAGGGCTGTCTTCAGTTTTCTACCTCCTCAACAACACATCAGAACATCCAACACAGTGAAGAGTAAAACTCTTTTAAAAAAAAAGAGTTCCTCTGCTGAAAGCACAAGAGGACTCCAGGAGGACCCCCTTCGTAATGGCTCAGCGAGGACTAACAGGACTGTTTCCCACAGAACACCACGCTGTGCATTTGAGATATTTTACTTTAACTGTTTGGCTCTAAAGTCTCATTTAAAACCTCCAGGAAACAGTCCAAACTGTAGGAGTTGATAAAAACATTGATCCCACAAAGCAAACCAACAATGTTTCTATTCTGTGGAAGTTTTCAGACACACAGGACTGACTGAAGCAGCAGCAACCAAAACTAACTGCTGAATTTAAACACTTTAAAGATGCAGTTCTACTAATGGCCACTAGATGCTATCTCCAAAAAAGAGCCTTGAATTACCCCCTCATGGTTGTATGCCTCATTGAACCAGTCATTTTTCCCTGACAGTTTCCATCCATGTCTCTAAAAACATGCACACCTTCACCCCGACAGCACAGAAGATCTATACAATCAGGATTAGAGTCACCAATTCAGTATCTGACCAAATGTCTCCTCTTCTGTTCCAGAAGAAAAGTGTTTTATGAAGAACAGTATGAGGTCACAATGAAGATGACCTTTGACCTTTTGGATATAAAATGTTATCACATCATCACCAATTTTGTCATAATCATGAGTATGAATTCTTGCGGTCAGGCCATGGTCACAGTGACCTGGAACTTTGACCTACGACCACCAAATCCTGATCTGTTTATTCTTGAGTTCAAGTGGACGTTTGTGCCAAATTCGAAAAAATTCTCTCAAGGCCTTCTTGAGATATCGGGTTTACAAAGCTGAGACGGAAGCAAGGTTATAGTGACCTTCACCTTTGACGATCAAATTCTTATCAGTTCATTGATGAGTCCAAGTGAACGTTTTTGCCAAATTTGATGAAATTCTCTATAGCTGTTCTTGATATATCACATCCACAAGAATGAGACTGACAAGGTCACAGTGACCTTGATCTTTGACCTTTGACCACCAAATTCTAAGCAGATCACACTTGAGTCCAAGTGGATGTTTGTGCTAAATTTGAGGACATTCCCTCGAGGTGCTCTTGAGATATCGTGTTCACAAGAATGAGAGTGACGCCTTAGATAGGACGTTGAATAATGGCCAGAAAAGTGTTTATTGTATTACATTATGATGTCACAGTGAAGCTGACCTTTGACCTTTTGGATATAAAATGTTCATCATTTTATCCTGTTAGACATCTGTGTGACATTTTGTCATAATTAGCGTAAGAGTAATTTAATAATATAATAAAAACTCAGAGAGCATTTTTAAGAGAGCCCGTCAGCACACATAAAGTGCCTGTCTATGAGATATAAAATGTCTGAAGTATTATCAAGGAACAGTCTAGTTTCCTGGAGAGATTCCTACAGTTACTCTACACTCAGACAAAACTGCTGAATTCCTTTGAGATGATACTAAAGGATAGTTCATTGAAATGTGTGAATATTGCAACCTCAGCAGCTGACTGAGCTTCTCTTTCCTGAGAAATAAAACTGAAGTTGACAGAGAAAGTTCTTTTTTTAATATTGAAAACTCTTCAGCTGTGGATCAGCTTGCAACTGAACATGTAGCCCACGCACTGAAGTCCCCTGTTATTTTTGCTGCATGTGTTTTTCCACAGCAGGGCAGGTAAAAGAAGTTCACCTGTTGGAGGTGAGCTGTTTGCAGAGGTGCAGTAAGAGCCTGTTGTCTGCAGCTCTTCATCAACATCTCACTGTGGCTGTTTCTGATTTTACCCTTCTCCTCGCTGTATTATTAGACTTGCCTTTATTGAAGAAAAGCTGCTAGCAAAGTTCTGCTAATTCCTCTAATTTCCTGTAGATTCTTCACAATAAAAGTCCCATTATTCTGTTATGTAAAAACTTTAATTGTGAAGCAGCAAAATAAGGAAATGTTGAGTTTTCGAGTAGCAACTTCACAGAACCGGCTCTAATCCGGCTGATAACCTTTCTCTCTCCTGCAGACAGAGGGGAGGAGAGTCTCACAAGACACACAGCCTGTTCAGGTGAGTCATTGGGGATTGGTTGTGGTTGGGGAGACGTCACCGCTACCTGCTTGAGGGCGGGCGGCCTGATTTTTGGACCTACTCCAGAGAAGTGGAAAAGGCCCACAGTATTGTACAGGTGCTACTGCAGTAACTTCATCCATCTCACAGACTGATTTAGCGTAGTTTGTGCAACATATAGACCGATGTCACACTGAAGACAAATGAAGAGACAGATTAAACAGAGGAGCAGCTCTGTGTCTCTCTGAGTGTTGATGGAGAAACTGTGAGTACACACCGATCCTCACCATCAGTTAATACAGATGTGTAATTGTTTGATTCTCAGCAGTGTTTCTCTGATAACTGCTGTCGATCAGTTTCTCTGGTTTCAGATCTGCATTTGTAAATTGTGGTGGTTAAACATCCGCAGCAGTGAATCATCAGAGGAAACAGACCGAGAGATAAAACAGGAACCAGGAGAAAAGAGGGATTTACAATTTCACAAAAAACTTTTTGCTGTGGAAAACCCCTCCACATCAGGTCTGGTTTGTCCTGAGGAAAGGTTATGGAGTCATCACAATTATTTGAGGGGTTCATCCTCTGCAGAGCACTAACGAGATCAGGACATTTAATGATGTAAACTTTAAATCTACTGACTGAGAAGAGACCTTTCCTTCAGTGTACTTTACTCTTTGAAAGTGAGGAGGGGGGACTTTCCCCTGTCATGCTGTGAAAATATATTTTTGTCCCTTTCACTTTTCAGTCTCAGTTTTACTCACTAAAATTCACCGAACAGTGTTTTGCGACAGTCAGGCTTTCTGAACAAATAGGTTTGACCAGCAGCAGTTAGTGATTCAGACTTTTGATGACCTCATTTATTAGTGGAGTTATTTTGGGCTGTATGCAGAGCTGGATGTTAGCGCTGCTGCTGTGTTAGCTCGTACTAACTGGGTGAACTTTCTCGGGGGAGAGCGGCTCCACTGACAGTGGGGACAGAAAGTTTGCTGATCCAGTGGTTGGGACAGTCTGAGATCAATCCCAGCGCAGAAAGGATTGTGTTCAGGTATTGTTTGATTGGAGACATTTTGAAAGACGTGGCAAATCAACTCCGACTGGCTGCGTTAGACAGATCAGATCCTGAGAGACGGAGTCTGGGCTTTTCTGAGGCGCGTTCACAAGTTGTTTTCAAAGCATGCATGCCTTATTGCACGAACCAAATCTTGGTCAAAGCTTGCCATTGTCAGCGTGTAGGTTGCAGCTCAGAGGCTGATGTCGACGTAGCAAAGGGCTTTTGAAAATGGTAACATGCAGACAGTAGAAAGGAGGAAGAATGGTGGCCTAAAAAGCCGACAAATTTCAAGTTTATAGTCACACTTTACATCCGGTGAGTCAGACTACCTCTCTCTATAACGTGTCAGAGCGGCTCCCTGATCTGTCAGGATGCTGTGACCTCTGACCTCTGCTGCCACTCGGTCTCCGGTGTTTAAACTGAAGCTCTGACTAATGAATGAATAAACAGCAGTTTGGATCCCAGGGGGCCGACCGCGCTCTGACTTCATACAATATGAGGAAGTGAAAGAATCTCAAGGACTATTACACAACGACACAGAGGGGCAGCAGCTTAGTCAGCTGACACACACACACACACACACACACACACACATACACACACAGAGTTCATTACCTCTGCTGATTCGCTGTTTCTCTCCTGACAGGATACCAGGCGTGTCGATGATGCTGATGCTCTGAAGAACCTGATTGTTCATCTGAGAGCAGATGAACCTGAAAACACACACACACACACACACACACACACACAGAAGAGAGTGATACAGATATGTCAGACTGTTAATTTGCTTATTTCAGGTTTCTGTTTTACAACCTTGATTTTCACTGTTATTGAGTTTTATTAACAGCAAAGTGATTTTTTTTCCCTGCGGCTAGTGGTTTTAGTCAACAAAAACTGCAAAGACAAACCGTCACATTTTACACGTATAAGTGCTGAACGACAACAACAATGGAGGAGAAATCTATTGATGTACTGTCTAAGTATTACAGGGTGTCTACAGATAAAACCAAGATAAATTTAAGACTTTCAAAGGACTTGTATTAATATATGTTTCCTTTCATAAACCCACACAGACTGGCGTGTCTGCCATCTCTCCCTGCATGCTTCAGCCATCCCCTAGTCAATAAAAACATAATTTAATTAGGAATTAAAGATGTTAGCTGTATCAAAAGGACCCCTGTCTCACTTCCTGGTTTCAATGAAGGCAGAAAAGCTGCTCAAGTTCTGGTGAGCTTTTTAATTCCTGGTAAATTAATTAAATAATATTAGTATCGGGTGTGTCTCAACCATGACGTGCCAAATCCGTAGCCCTTCTAAATCCAAACTACATAAGGATCATAAGGATTACGGTTTAAGAATGAGTATAGGCAACTTTTTGTTGACTCTGTACGACGTCAATGCCGTCAGATCTCTGACACCCATCATGTGTGCTGTTAAAAGAAAAAATTCACTGGGAGGTTGACCCATCACAGCGTTAAACAGTCAAGACTTTGTTCTTTTAAAATATATTTTCCAGCTGAGTTGAAGATGTAAAAATTAAAATCAAATTCTCAAGGATGGGTGACAAACTACCTCTGAACTTTATTAACTCTAAAGTTTGATCCAGGAGATCATCGTCATCCTGTAGAGTCTGATACAGAGGCATCAGTATTAAATTGAGTCTGTTTCATAATTGGTTTAAAACTTCTTGTCGTGGCTTAAAATAGCGATCCGCTTCTGTGTTTTGATACAGTTGGTCTTTCTACCTTAAGCGTACTGTACCAGAGTACACATGAACCGTATTCAAGACCATCTTTTCAAGTGGACTCAGCAGACCGTGCCCAGGTACGGTTCACAGTGCTCACACTGAAAAACAAACTATTTTTTTGAGTACAGACTAAAACGACTATCTGATGATGTCCGAGTGTGTGTGAGACCTTCCCGTCACCTCGTCATAAATATAAAGTTTAAAGTTAAATTTAGCTGACAGACTGCAGCGGCGGGAAAAAACAAAACTGCCACGGCGACACGTGGTGACGCACACACACTTCCCCCTGGAAACAATAACTTACTGTGGTTCCTCCATCACACCGGGTGGAGATGGGATTCCTGGTTAAAGGAATGTCTCAACTACACACGCCCAATGACACACACACATATTAAAACACACTCTAACACACACTTTTTTTAGGGTCGACTGTCCCTCCACTTCCTGCTGCCAATCTTAGAAATATTTCTGGACAGAGGAAATATGTTTGGACCAGAGTGTTTTCAGCTAAATTTAAACCCCCACTACAAAAGCCTGAGTGTGTGTGTTTACATGTCAGTCAGGAGTGGAGGGGTCATTTCCCGGTTTGTGAATGTTTTGAGGAAAGCAGTGACAGGAGTGTGAAGAGCTGCCAGGATTTAAGTGTGTGTGTGTGTGTGAGAGGCTGGTCCGAAAAGGGAGTCAGGACGTTTTTCAGACCAACAGCAGCAGTACGTCACAAACATGGCTGCGACTAACGATCATTTTCTTTGGGCTCTGTTTGGGTCATGGGTGTAGGTTTCATTCCAACATTGATGGAGGCACATATCTGAGGTCCTGGCGGTCCTCCCCCAGGAAATCTTCAATGTCAAACACTTAGTTGTCATGCTGTGTTCACACTATAAGCAACATAGCAACAGGCTACAATTAATTTTTAATGGAGGCCAGTGACACGCTGCTACGAACCGACACTTATCGCAGCTGATGGGCGTGACGCACTACAAACCACAGTTGAGCAGGCCTCAACTTTTTCCAGTGCTCTAGTGGCGTGGTGAAGTGTCGGCCAATCATCTGTTGTATTTCTAGCTATGGTTCTGTTATTTAATTTTTGTTTGTTTTATTTAATGAGAATAAAGTCATAATGTTTCACTAGAAACAATCCACCTGCCATATAGTGCTCTGTGCATTAAGTTATTGCTCTGCTGATGTGGGAGTATCCCCTTCAGACAAGTAACCCCATTTGGGACTCTCTGGATGATCAAGCATAATACATGACCGTCCCGTGGGCCTACTGAAAAATAAAATGCACTGATATATACAAAACCAATACGCCAAAACACTTTAATGAAACTGGGAAGTAAAATAACATGAATGCACCTTTGTAGTCTGACCTTAACAGGATCGTTAACGTAGCCTTACCTAGCTTGATTTAAGTTTTATTTGCTGTTAAAAGTTTAAAAGTCAACGCATTTGCAATTCATGATTTCCTCCATATTCTGATAAAGTATATCACTTCATGAAAGTGAAAGTAAAATACACAGTATAAGACTGTAAAGATTGGAAACAGGGAACAGTGTAGTAGATTAATTTAACTTAAAATGAATTTAGAGCTGCAAATACATTAATTTACTTTTAGAAAACTAGTGTGACTGTTTGTAGGAACCAGAAACACAAATTAGACATTTGTGTGAAATGTTGTCAAACTTAGTGTATGAATTCTTAAGTTATGGCTATAAAAATGATTTGCGAGGTCACAGTGACCTTGAACTTTGACCTTCAACCACCAATTTCGAATCAGATCATCCTTGTGCCCAAGTGAACGTTTGTGCCAAATTTGAAGATATTCCCTCAAGGTGTTCTTGAGTTATCGCTTTCCTGAGAATGAGACGTTCAGACGTACAGAGGTACAAATTTGACAGACAACCTGTGAACAAAATGCCTCCGGCCACGGCTGTCGCCAGCATGGAGGCATCAAACTAACATATCGTTTATGTTTTCCAGGTGTGTGTGCGTGTGTGTGTGGTTCACCTGTTGAGGAAGGAGTTTCCAAATGCGTTGAGCTTCCTGAAGGGTTTCTTGGGGTCAACCACCAGAGCGTTGCCAGGAACAACACCCTCGTTCTCGCCATACATCACCGCGATGAAGCCGTCAGTGGTCGGCTCCGGACCGATCCGCATCCCTGGAAAATCCTGCTCCAACAGGTACCTGACGAGAGATAGAGAGATTTAATTATTTAGCAGCAGTCAGTGTGTCTCCCCCATCCCCCCTCACCCTTCACCTCCTCACACATTTCCCACATATCCTTTCATCCCAACATCGACCTCTCGCAACGTTTCCCTCGTTAAAGAAAAGTGAGAAAGGAAGGAAGCGATGGAAGATGGCTGCAGTGTCTCCGTCCTCTCGCTTCCTGTTGTCGCAGCAAACATGGACATCAAAGAGAGGAAAACCACCACAGGGAGAGAGGCCATTATTATTATCATAACTCTGTTTACGGTCACACATCATCTCTCGGCACGGTCGACATGTTTCCACTGAGCTGCTGATCCAGGAGGATTTTCACTGATGTTATCAGCTGAGGTCTGGAGAATGATCAGAAGCCTCGGACCACATGCTGCTGGACGTCTGACTGAATACTGCGCTCAGGACTACGGCTGCAACTAGTCGTTTGGTCTACAAACATTACTGCACAGTGAGAAATACCTGGAGCCGTAAGTGACTTCATCAAATGTCTTGTGTTGTCCAACCCAAAAATATTTAATCTACTACAATGTAAGACCAAGGGAAGCAGTTGCTGGTTAATTGTTTGTCCATGGAATAATTGATTAGTTGACTTATCATTGCAGCTCTGACCAGGACACTATTGTGTCTACATGTAAGCAAGCATCACCTAGAAACTAATTTCGTTTGATCTGATTGTTGATGACTCCTGCAACAAGAGTAAGACCTGAATCCTGAACAAGAACGTTGCCATGGCTCCTGACAGACCACAATGACCTCCACTGTTCATCTGCATCCCTTCACTTGTAGCACAGTCAAAATTTTTTCTTCAGCTTCAACTTTATGTATCAATATAGAAGCTTTCATACAACATACATAAATAAAATTGATTGATTGATTGAACCACGCAGCCAAAAAAACAAAAATGGACAAGAAATAAAAAATTTTACCAAAAAAATTACAACAGTAAAACAACCACATCACAGTTGTATGCCTCTGCAGACCAGTCAAGTTGCAGTTACAGTTACTATGGACTGAGCTATTGCCGCCCCGAGTTATAGCCAAAAACACTGTGAGGTCAAATGACCTTGACCTTTGCTCACCAAATTCCAATCAGTTCATTGTTGAGTTCATGCGTACGTTTGCGCCAAAGTTGAAGAAATTCCCTCAAGGCCTTCTTGAGATATCTCATTCACAAGAATGGGATGGACAGACACTACAAAAACATAATGCCTCCGGCCACGGCTATCACCAGCACTGAGGCATGAAAACACAACAATTTGTTTTTTCAGGTGATTATAAACAGCCTACATTCCATTTCTGCCAACGTATGCCCCTAAATCCAACACACTGGTTGTTTAAAATATGATAAATAAATCTGGAGATCAGTGGAAGTAAATGACAAAATGTTTTTGGTAATTTGGGTGAACTGACCCTTTAAATCAGACTTCACGTTAATGATTAATCAGCATCAGAACATCGGCACCTTTAATAGTCCCAAAGCTGCAGGCTTGATTCAGTTTACAGTCGACTGTTGATGACGTCAGTCTGAAAACAAAAGGTCTGTGACATCACTTCCTGTCAAGTCCAAGGAGGTTAAAAAGAGAAGAAGTCAGTGGGTACAACACATGCGGAGTAAAATCTGGTCCGAACCCGCCGAAAGGCTGGTACGCTATCACAGAGCATGGAGACAACTGATTGGCTCCGGGGGTTTTTTCAGACCTAATTGTATTGCAGAGTTTTGCACAGTGGCGACTGGATCTTTGCTCTCAAACCACAAAAAATGTGATGGCACAACAGTCTCCTTCAGTACATTATTCTATGCTTTCTTTTGATTTTCACATTGGCTAGTCATCCTGTTTAATTTGTCTTCTGATTAAATCGGAACCGCTGAAACAAGCAAAGCCTTTATAGACTGAGCTGAGTAGTGATGCGCAGGTCAACCCGTAACCTGCGGGACCCGCAAATGGACCTGCGGGTCGGGCAGCAGTGATCGTCTGTTAAATCGGTCTGTAAATGATATGTTGACATTATTGGCTGTTACTGTCATGGCATCCGAAGGTACTGATACGTTGAGCAGGTGACAGTCCACGGTCGTTTTCAAAACACACTTGTGTCACGCACTCCAAAAGAAACTTGTTGAAACTTTAAACAATAATTCATTGTACAAAACGGGGGAAACAAACGTTGACAAAAACGGTTCCATAATTCATATTAAATTCAAAAGATAACGAAAAAACAGCTACAAGTTAGAGGGAATAGTGATAAAGTGGTAAAACTTGGCATTGATCCACAGCCTCAGACGGATGCGCTCAAGCGTGCCGTGAGCACAAGCTCAGCTGGTAGGCGATACTATATTTTCACATTTTTAACAATGCAATTTATAAGTTTTGATTTTTATTGATAACCTACATTTACCAACAACAAAAAGACTATATTTAGCACCAAAAAAATATGTAAAGAAAAAAAAAGTAAAGAAAAAAAAAACGAATATTGAATACCAAATTTTCATAACGAATACCAACCCATAGAAACGAATATTCGAATATCCGAATATTTGGGTACAGTCCTAAAAAGCACTTGAACGGACATCGTCCTTTTATTTCCAGCTCCGTCTGCTGTAACCCTCCCACATCACAGCTCCAGTTCCATCACACGTGTGTCGTACTCCAAAGCTCTCCTGGGGTCAAAGAGCGTGTCCCAGCACGTTCTTTGAATAGCTTTGCTGCGATAGCTATAGTAGCATCCTTTCTGTCTCCTGAAGCGACGATGCTGTCTGGATTTTACATAGCAAGAGCTCGTCTTTGGCTTTTATTCTGGCGGGTAGCTTGAGATAACAGGAAAGAATGAGTCCAGATTTTTACCTGCATTAACAGGAGTTTGTCCTAATCTACATCGTATATCCAGATACTGAGTTATGATACGTGTTTCTAGAATCTTTATTGACAAAAGCGTCGATCTGACAGAAGACTAAAGAATAAAATACACAAAAAAAGAGGTTGAAATAAGGAAACCCAAAGGTAAAAGCATAAAAAGAGTCATAGATCAGATCCAGGCCATGATCATGTGTTACACGTGTGGACCAATCAGAGGCCACACTATGACCTGCTCGCAGCCCTTTAACCGTTAACTCTGCTGGTTTCACTTCACCTACGTCAAAGAAGAAGGAGAAGAAGGAAATATGTCGACTCTGCAATTTATTGGCAACTTAATGCATTCTTTTCAGTTCCCATGATTCATAGCATTCCTCAGGGCAGGGTGGGGCCTCAGTAGTGGGACACACACACACTGTTACAGCAGCAACGATTACTCTGCAGGTCTCTGTTGGACGTCAACTGATTGCAGGTCAGCTCTGCTGGTCCTGTTTGCTGCCAAAACGTTTGACTGTTTGTACCCGATATTTACACACACACACACACACACTGCAGACATGAGATAAGCTCAGTGTAACTGCAGTGTGATGACCTCAGCTCTCAGCCAGTCTGACCATTGATTTCTTTCCTTGCAGGCCACCATACAATCCACATTCTGTTTTCAAAGACTCAGCTGCAGAGACCTGAGTGAAGCTTGTAAGAGATCAATAATCACAGTCAACATGTCGTCACCATAATATTTTTGTCAGTTTACGTATCAACATGTCATTCAGCTCAGAGCCCACATGGCCTGATGCTGCGTTCAATGACACTCGGATACAAAACAGTGTCTAAAAGTCCTTTTCAGACACAGAATCTGTGACACTGCTGACTCCATCTGTTAAAGCTTTTATTTTTGTCTCTCAGACAGAAGTGTCTGTCACATAAATGTCTCATGGCTGCTCTCAGACATGACAGGACTCTAATGGGAGGACACGCAAAGGGAATACGCCTTCCTCTCCGAGGCTGAATCCAAGTACCCACCCTCTGAGACCTCGCGGACTGCAGTCACACGTACACTGTGTTCACTGTCATCATGTTAACTCTGCCAGGGCAGAGACTGTGGACTGTGGGAGGAAGGAAGGAATATGCAAACTCCACACCCAAGGGCTCCCCCACCCCACGGTTAAAACCAGGAACCCTCTTGCTGTGAGATGACAATGCCACCCACTGCCCCACCGTGCCGCAGGTTCCAAAAACACTCTGTCCAAATCCAAACCACCACAGTCCCAAATGTACTGACAACTTCGCTGTACCCTTCTCTGGATAAGTCAAGAGCTTCAGTGGCATTCTGGTTAGCACTCACCACTTACCCACTTGAGGGCAGGTGTTCTGTTTTTGGACCTACTCTGGAGAGGGTCCATCTCTGGTGCAGCTCGGCGGAAACGCAAATAAGCCCAGCCAAAAGTGAGAGTGGAAAAGGCCCACAGTATTGTATGTGTGCTACAGACCGATGTCACACTGTAGACTAATGGACAGACAGATGAAACAGAGAAGCAGCTCTGTGTCTGATGGAGAAGCTGTTGGTGAGGAGAGATGAACACTGGTATACGTTATGTAACGCAACTTGACCCTATATGGATATAAACCGCTGTCCGTATCTATATCTCACCTGAAAATATATCAATATATCATACATAGTCGTTATATCGCCCAGCCCTTACTGGCTCTCTAGTACCAGATTGATTACAAAAACCTTCTGCTCACCTTCTAAGCCCTCCACAGCCCAGCCCCCACTTATCTCTCCAACGCCCTCCAGCTCCCTGCACTCCTCCTCTGCTGGTCCATCATCACCTCACACCCAGCACCTTGGGGGCTAGATGCCAAGTGAGCTATGTGATGTTTTGTAACTGAATTAAAATTATATTAATACATTTCTATATAACAATCCAGGCCAGTCTGTAAATGAGGAACGGACCATGACTAAATAAACTGCGTACAACTTACACTGGAGACTGTGTGTCAGCCTATTTTCTTGGCTTACATATTTGGCATTAGGCTGCACAACCATTAGCCCACAGGTCAGCACATTTGGCTTCAGCCCAACTCTCTGGCATGTGTCTGAGTATTTGCATA